CTTCATTTCTTTATTATATTTTACAAAATGAGGGAGGTACCTAAGAGCCTGAAAGTTCCTAGATCAGGCAAAAGTCCCTAGTCGATTTTAAAAATCAATTACCTCTTTCGCTTTTGTTTTATTATTTTATGTTCGAGATTGTTTAAAACTCGAACCTCGTTGCCTGTTTGCCATTTTACAAGCTTGGCTTGTAGTTTTGTCGTATAAAAAAAAAAAAAAAAAAAAAAAAAAAAAAACAACAAAAAAAAAGACAAAAATAATAAAATAAAATAAAATAAAATAAAATAAAATATCGGCCTAAAAAATTTTTTCAATAAAGGGGCAATCGATTTTTAATATCGACGTAGAGCTTTTGACTTATTTTGGAACCTTCCGTCCATTTTGTATTTTCCTTTTATTACCATTTCATATACTTATCGTACATACACACTACGTATATATATATATGTATTTATGTACATATATATATATACATGTGTACGTACGTCGTGTGTGTGTGTGTGTATGTGTGTGTGTTTGTGTATGTATTGCATATGTTGCACCGAAAAATGATATGATCGATTTTTGGTGCCGTAATGCAAACTTGCGTTACTATAAAAAATAAAAAGAAAAAAAAAAAAAAAAAAAAAAAAAGAAATACAATCTCAGACGCACGTCATAGATGCGAAAGAGGAAAATTCTTAGGGGAGGGTGGAGAAAAAAAAAAGAAAAAAAAAGAAAAGAAAAGAAAAAGAAAGAAAAAAAAAAGCTACTAGAAAAAAGTAATAATCAGAAATATTTCATCGATGAAAATCAAACGAATGATTATTGTTTGTATTATTACAAATAAAAGAAAGAAATAAATAAAGAAATAAACGACAAAAAAAGTAAGAACATTTTTTTTCCACGATTCTTTTCGAAATTAATCAATACCAAGGAAATATAACTTTTATGATTATGCGAGACAAAGGACGAGGTAACGGTAATTAAAAAAATTATTAATTACTTGACAGAATTATCGGCTTGAAAAATTTCAATAAAATTTTCATTCAATTAACATTGAGATCATTAAACATCATTCTTCGTCCACGAAATGATTCGGAATATATATATATATATATCTGCTTTTTTCTATCGCAAATTGGTTAATTTAATTTAAATAGATTTTTATTTAAATTGATATATATATATATATATATATATATATATATATATTTCTTTTCCTTTTTTTTAATTATCATTATTACTTTTACAATGAAAAAAATAAATAATAATAATAATAATAATTAGGGAAATAGTATTCATCATTCCATTTAACAGCATTCGTTGTTATAATCCGTTCGAAAACGGTCTAACGAGAAAAAAAAAAAAAAAAAAGAAAAAAGAAAAAAAAAATTCATTAACTCCACATGACATTTTCATTTCTTTAATTTTCATCTCCGATCGTTTCCCATTCATTCCTAATTTTTTCGCACGTTTTTTTTTTTTTTTATTTCCCCTAAAAGAAATGTCGCCATTTTATCAATATATTCCTGACATTCTTATAAATCTTTTTGTTCTAACAAAAAAAATTTATTTACAATATAAATTTATTAACAATACAAATTACTTATAATATAAATTTATTTATAATATAAATTTATATTGTTCTAACAAATAAATTTATTCGAAGCCTATATATATATAATATTTTTATTTTACTTTATATTATATAATATTTATATTTTATTATAAAGAAATATATAAAGTATATATGTCGAAAAGATTAAATGTTAATTATAATAAAAAGACAAATGGTTGACATTTAATTAATAATTAGCCTTGTATATGAAATGGGTAACTCCTTTAGACGTAATATAAATTTGCAGAAATGAAATTACATATACAATATTGTATAATATACATACGTATATACATATACATATATATATATATATATATATATATACACATATATACATGGTAAAAGTTTGCTTGTTTGCTTGCTTTTACACGCTCACGTTTTCTCTAACGACAAACTTCCTTGACGTTTTTAAACGTAATATTAAATTTCTACGATTAGTATACCTGATTAAAAAAGAGACTCCTCGCTTGTCGGAGCAGCTGCGTGTTTTTTCTCAAAGCAAATTTCAAAAAAAAAAAAAAAGAAATAAATAAATAAATAAAAAAGTTGCAAATTAAATTAACAAACATATAAAGTTATCACTACGGTCTTTATGTTGTTTTTTTTTTTTTTTTTTTATTTATTTCTGACCTTTGAAGTCTCTTTTCTATTAGTATTTTCATTAAAATAATCCAGCGTCCTTTTTTTTTCTTTTTTAACAAATATAAAATGTCCCTAAAATTGTTAACGAATCCATTTTGTATTTTATTTCATTCTTTTAATTTTTTCCTCTTTTTTTTTTTTTTTTAATTCATCTCATCGCTCCAAAATCCTCGTATTATTCGTTTGTCACTTTTGCTTTTTTATTTATTTATCTATTTATTTATTTATTTATTTATTTATTTATTTATTTATTTATTTATTTATTTATTCATTCATTTTATCACTCGGAAATCCTATCAAAAAAAACGGGGAACAGATAAATTAATAAATAAATAAATAAATATCCCCGCCTTTCAATCTTGCATTAGTTACCATTGAAGTTTCATTTCAATACCATTTTTGTACAGAATAATGGTTGTCTGTTTTTTAACAAATACAAAATAACATATTGTTGGTTTATTTCATTCATTTCTTTCGTTCCTTTTTTCTTTTTTTCTTTTTTAACTTGTCACTTTATCTCATCACTCTCGATCAAAAATCCTCGTGCGTTTGCCAGACAATAATTTTTATTTTTTTATCTTTTTCTTTCTGTTTCTTGGTTTTTCTTTTCTCTTTTTTCTCATATTTTTATCTCCATTCATTTTATATTTTTGCAAATTATTCGTGCGGGGAGAATTGGACGATCCGTCGAGATTACAACGATAAAAAATGCAAAGGAAAAGAAATATAAAAAAAAATATATATATATATATTCATGTCATCAAATGCTGAAAATGCATATGTGGTAATAATAAAAAATAAAAACAAAAATAAAAAAAAAATAATAAAATAAAAGTGGAACGCGTGCGAGCACTTTAAAAAAGAAAAAGAAAAAATATATTTATATATCTATATATATATATATATATATATATATATATATACAACGGAAGAAAAGAAAATTATACATTTGCCCCAGTAAAAAAGACAAATCCATAATAATTGAATTATAATTATTATTATTATTATTATTATTATTATTATTATTATTATTGTTATTATTATTATTTTTTTTTTTATTATTATTGTTGTTATTATTATTATCAAAGGGAAATAGTTCTTCTAATAGATTAAAATTATCACAAATCCCTTTTGTATATTTTTTATATTGTATATGCAGTTAAATAACGATGTTGTAAAATAACAAAATAATATTGTGCTTTTATTAATCAGTGTTGTGAAAGAATCAATCAATCAATCAATCAATCAATCAATCAATCAATCAATCAATCAATCAATCAATCAATCAATCAATCAATCCAATCAATCGAAATTACATACAAATTAAAATACTCTAAATGAGATAATGTGAAACGATTTATATAATAATAAAAGGAATTCGCTTGAATAATAATTATTATCCTTGTAAATTTTCATAAGATATTTAATAATGAACTCTTCAATATTTATATATATATACATATATATATACATATATATGTTCAAAAAAAAAAAATATATATATATGTATTCTATTATCATTTCCATCCAGCACATTATTATTATTATTATTATTATTGTTATTATTATTATTGTTATTGTTATTATTTGTTTCCTTTTCTTCTTCTTCTTCTTCTTCTTCTTCTTCCTCTTCTCCTTATTATTATTATTATTATTATTATTATTATTATTATTATTATTATTATTATTATTATTATTATTATTAGTATTATTATTATTAGTATTATTATTAGTGTCCTTTTTGTCAATCCTAATATGACGGAAATGTATTAAACAAAACAAACAAAAAAAAATATTTTTCTTCAGTAATAACCATCAACGATTTAAAAATCAACAGAAGAAAAGGCGTTGGGGGCGGGGGGGGGGGGGAGAAACATTATGAAAAAAAATATATCACAGGTACGTACTTTTTCGCACGTTTTTCAAGTCACATCAAACAAGAAAAAAAATAAATAAGTAAATGAATAAGTAAAAAAGAAAGAAATAAAATAAAATTATTATATTAAAAAAAAAAAAAAAAAAAAATTAGAAAATCTAATTACACATCACATTTTATCAATTACAATTACTTTTTAACATGTTCTATGCCATGTGTACCGCCGGTGGTACACGTTAAACTTTGATCTTCAGGCCACGTGTACCACCGGTGGTACACGCAGTCATTTTTTTTCATTAATCAAAATATCATATGGCCTGAACGACAAATCAAACAAAAAAGACTTGGCACGGAACGTGTTAATGATTCATCATGCGATCACTTGTGTATCAAACGTTGGTTGTGTCAGTGCTACTTGAGTCATGCGTTCATATTATAATCAGAATGGTACAAGTAAATTACTCATGTGACGTCAAAGGTTTAAGTAGCACAAACGAAACATTACATTCTCTTAAGGGGGCCGGGGAGGGTGGGGTGATCACAGATGTGGTACAAACAAATTACTTTTATGGGTATCAGAATACAAACGAATCATTCTTATGAGATTGAACATTTCATTAGTACAGGTCAAGCACGCTGAAAAATTAATTAATAGAAAGTAACAATAGTTCAAATGCACGTAAATTATTTATTGCAAAAGATAATAAAAAAAAAAAAAAAAAAAAAAAAAGGGAAAAAAAAAGAAAAAAAATTTTTATACCGCTTATAGTAACAATTATTTTTTATTAATTTATACCAATTTATTCGATATAACTGACATGTTATTTTGTTTTGTTTTTTTGTTTTCCTTCTTCCTTTTTTCCATCTTTTCGTCCGTTCTTTTTTTTTTTTCGTTCTTATTCTTTATTCTTTTTTTTTTTTTTTTCTGTTTATATCGATAACAACCCCAGCTGTTGAGATGAGAGAAACCATTATTTACGTTTATCCTTGTAAAATTATATAAATTTCTCTTCGCTATTATTAGTAAAAAATCAATATATGCTCTATATAGTTAAAGTTTGTCTGTCATATTCGTCAAATTGTAATGTGTATTCTTTTTTTTTTTCGATCTGTATTAGGACAATCTTGAAAATATCCGATTAATACTGAAGTAATTCAAGTATATAGTCGAGACATCTGCATATATATATATATATATATATATATATATATATATATATATATATATGCATATATGTAAATTAGACTTTTCCAGCATTGTGTATGCTATTTTGTTGAGCTTGTTGTGCGGAGTTAGTTGCCAATGGTAGACTTTGTTGTTGTACTACAGGATTCTCCTTACTTTGTCCTGGTATCGATGGTATTTGATTTTGGATAGGTTGTTGCTGCTGCGATATCGTATTTTGAATATTTGGTTGTTGTGGAATTTGATTGATTGTATTCTGTTGTTGTTGCTGCTGCTGTTGTTGCCGTTGTTGCAGTTGCTGTTGCTGCAGTTGCTGTTGGTGGAGTTGTTGTTGCTGGAGTTGCTGTTGTTGTATTTGTTGTGCCTGTTGTATTTGCGGATGTACAGGAATCTGATTGGACTGTATCTGTTCATGGAACTGTCCATTTTGAGGTACAATCTGTCCCTGATATTGCTGGTGTTGCTGATGTTGATAGTGTCCTTGTTGCTGCATTGGTACTTGGCCTTGGTAATGTTGTTGTTGTTGTTGTTGTATTGGAATTTGTTGCGGATTATATTGCTGTTGAACCGGTTGTCCTTGATACTGATATTGTTGTTGTGTATTAGCTTGATTGTTCACAACCTGTTGTTGAACAGGTATATTTCCATGCGGTGAGAACTACAAAATATACATATACATATATATATACAGACATACTTATATGTGTCATGTGCCTTATATTTAATTATCTTGATAAAAACTATTTGTAAATTATATTTCAAAATTTAAATAAAACAAAATTCTTCTTATCTCATTTAAATTTGTTTAAATATATTTTTATTGAAATATTAAAAATTTTTTGGTATGTTTTTACTTATTTTCTTTTTTCTTTTTTTCTTTTAAAGGATTTCACTTTTTTTTTTTTTTTTTTTTTTTTTTAAGTATTCATTAATACATCCAAAGGATGAGATGTAAAGCTCACCTGTTGATTCTGCGGTGGTATATTATCCTGTTGCGGTTGTAGCTATTAACAATAACAAAATATGTGTGCAAGCTATGTTAATTCTCCTAAGTACTACAAATAAATATTAGAAAAATGAAAAAAAAAAAAAGAAAAATTGTATTCGTGCTTAATTGAAAGAGAGGAACTGTTGTTAGAAAATAAAAAGAAAATAAAACAAAATAACAGATTTAAATTGAAAGCGAGAGAGGAAAAAAAAATTAACATGCCAATTGCACTCTAGTATATAAAAATGTAATAATGCAAATTAAAATCATCAGAGGATTTGAAAAATCGATTATTTTTTAACTTTTCTATATCATGTGTGTTATTAATTGTAAAAAAGACAAAATATAATAAAACAGAAAAAAATTAAATATAGATATATAAAAAAAAAAAAAAAAAAAAAAAAATTTGCGCTTTATCAAAATAAATTATTAATCATTCCATTTTGTTTCACGACAAATAAATTAATTATGATGAAAAAAAATTTTATATGAGTTTATAATCCACTTACAATTCCCTTTGCAATTAATTCTTCTCTCCTACGTTTTTCAAAAGCTTCGTATTCTTCCTGAGAATAAATTTGTTGTTCATCCAATGGTTTCCAGCCTGGATCATCTTGGAAATCTGGTTTCTTAGTTTGTTCCAAAAATTCTTGATAGCTGTAACCAATAATATAAATTATTTATATATATATATATATATATATATGTATATATATATATATATACATATTGGTTTGCAAGTTTCAATGAAATTTAAATAAATACCTTATGAGACCATCTTTGTTAAGATCAGCTTCATTAAATACATGCTCTCTCATTCTTTCCATTTCTTCTTCTTTCTCGAGAAGATCTTCTTCGGGTATACCTTTTCCATACATTTCATTTAAATCTTTTAAAAATAAAGCCTTCACTTCGTTCTGATCCCAAACCCCATTATCATCGATATCTAAAAAGAATATACAAATCAATGATAAAAAAAAAAAGAAAAAAACGTCCGTATTATTTAAAAAAATTTAATTAAATAATTTTTATTTACCGTGAATATAAAAAAATTTCTTAAGATCAAAATCTTCACCGCCCATGTCATCTTGCATTGCCCATACGTCTTCTAACTGTTGCTTACTACCAGGATGATGTAACTAATGATAATTGTAATTATTATAATCTCAATTAATATATATATATCATATAAATATATTATCATTTAAAATTACCTGAACATTTTTATGCTTCTTCTTCACTTCTTGCAAATGTTGAATGTATTGTTCTTTTTCTTTCTCATCCATAGCTATAAATATGAAAAAAAAACAAATGGATGCACATAACAGAATCTTTATACGTACTAAGGTAAAAAAAAAAAAAAAAAAAAAAAGAAGAGGATAGAAAAATATTACCCTTTATTTTCTGTTCCTGTTCGAATTTCTTTTCCATTTCGTATTCCTTAAATTGTTGACGTCTACGTCTGTCGGCTTCTGCCAAATCTTCTGTCGTCTGTGATAGATAATTAACGTATTAAAAAAGAGGGGAGAAAAAAAAAAAAAGAAAAAAAAAAATAATAGATCATATGCGATAATATTAATGACCCTAAATCAAATCATTTTACCCAACAAACCTTGGCTATTAATTTCTTTAAATCGTTGATTTCAAAAGAGCGCGTATTCGAATGATCCAAATGTTCAGCTATCTTTAAATGTTTAAGATCCAAACCATTGTTCAATTGATTCTCCTTTATTGCAAGATGTCTCAAACGTTCCAATTCTTCTCGCTTCAATTCATCCAATCTAGTTCTTATTTTATAATTCACAAATTCTAATTCATGAGCTATTTTCCCTGTCTGATATAACATTTCAATATAAAAACATATATTATTCATAATTCTTATAAGATAATTAATATCTTTAAAATTACTCACACGTATATCCTCCTCTTGAGCTTTTTCTAATTTTGAACGAAACTCTGGATCACTTTCTAAGGCGTCCACGACTTCTTTCAAATATCTATGATATTCCATTACTGCTGGCTACAAATAAATGTAAAAACTTTTAATAATATAATATATCTTAAATGGCATACATTGGACATCTTTATTTTTCTTACCTCATGATCTTTCTCTTTATGTTCTTCATTAGCTTTATCTTTGGTAACTGGAGGTGCAACTATTGTTTGCACCAACAGACCACACAAAATAAAACTGAGAGACCAGTACATGTTTCCTATGCACAAAAAAAAAAAGAAAAGAAAAAACAAAAAAAAAGAAAGAAAGAAAAAGAAAGAAAAAATTTATATAAATATATGCAGTATAATATAATATATCATATACATAAATTTTGTTTAAAATAAATATATATATATATATATATGTATATATATGTGTGTTAATATATTAAAGCAAAAATATTAACAGCTTTCAATTATTTTACATCATTTATAATTTTACATAAAAACCTTTAAAATATATATATATATATATAGAAGTATATAAATATATATATAGATGTATATATTTATATATATATATTAATAATAATTTTTTACTTCTCAGTAATATAAAATTCCTTTTGCAATTAGAATCGTACTAGCACTATCTTGACCAAATTAGAAACTTCTCGATGTACACGTAAGACACTAATATAATCTGATAATAATATTTAAAACGAAGATAAAGGTAGAGAAAATTTTGATTGTTGTTATTATTATTTCTTTTTTTTTGTTTTGTTTTTTACTTCTTTCTCAAAATAAGTATTATCGCGAAATTGATAATATTGCGCATAACAAGTAACATTAACGTTGACGTCAACTAATGTAATCGTGGCTATCCCCGGATAATCGTAATAAGAACATCGCTGAGATAAAGTGACAAAGAGAGAGAATGAAAGGGGAAAGAGAGAGAGAGAGAGAGAGAGAGAAGATGAAAGGGGAAAGAGAGAGAGAGAGAAAGAAGAAAAAGAGAGAGAGAGAGAGACAGAACGAGAATGAGAAAAGAAATAGAGACGAAAAACGTCAAAATAATTCTAAAGAATTTCGCATGATTATAGATATTATCATATAATTGGCGGAAAGAGAAACGATAATAAAGCTAATATTGAAAATTTGCAAATTATTGTACGATGTTAAAAAAAAAAAGAAAAGAAAAAAAGGAAGAAAAAAAAAGAAAGTAGATAAATCAATCAATCAAATTTATACTCTTCTTCTTTTTTTTTTTTTTCTTTTTTTCTTTTATGATAATACGTAAGTCAAATTAAAAGCACGAACAATAAAATAAGAAATGTTACAATGTATTACCATATGTCGGAGAATAAGAATGTGTTTGTATTTAATAAAATAAAAACAAAACCAATATACATACATCCATACATAATTCATACATACATACATATAACTATATATATATATATATATATATATATATTTATATATATAGATACCTTCTAATGTTTCACTTCTTATTTTGCAGTACTATCGTTATATTATTTTGTCCTTTAATGATCAATAATTCGAATACGTTGAGACACATTGGAAGCCCGCGTTTAATTCTAATTTAATGACATTTTAAAATATATATATATATATATCTATATATATATATATATATATCTATATAGATATATAACGCGATCGTAAAATTGAGAAACTTGAGAGATCTCTAAATACCAAAACGTTTTTTTAGCAAATGAGGTTAAGTCGACGTTTTCATGTAACGAAATGTACGCACGATTGAAACGTTCTGATTGGTTATTCGACTTTGACCAATCTTTACCAATATCAAGAACAATAATATTATTTTTCTTTATTATTTTACATAATAAAATATGATAATAATAATACTAATAATAATAATAATAATAATAATAATAATAATAATAATAAATTCGTATTTGTCGTATTTTTTGTTCGAAAAAATTCTATCGACGAAAATGATTTCTTTCCCTTTTTCTTTTTCCTTTTTTTTTTTTTTTATTTATTTTTTCTTTTTTTTTCGCAACGCCATTATTCAAATTTCTTATAGAAATTTCTGGACTCTCTTCGTAAGGCAAAATAAATGACGCCATTTCGTATCATGTATTTTACGAATGTGTGGTTCAGTAACGTGTGTCCAGCGGATTACAAAATAAGATGGCCAGATTTTGATTTAGACTTTGCGTAAGGTTCGATTTGAATTATTTATTCCACGTGCATTCGTAAACCAATGTTGTGTAAAATAATTAAACTTCGAGAGAATTTGGCTCGGTATCGTTTAATGTTTATCGTTACAAAATGTATAAGTGAGGAACATTGGTATGCAACGAACATAGTCGATCACATACGTCTCATCAAACGATTTCGTGTTTTTTTTCAATCTATACGTGACAGAGGGAAATCGACATTTTGATTGATATATATATATATATATATCTAAAAAAAAAAAAATAAATAAATAAATAAATAAATAAATAAATAAATAAAAATTAAATAATCTAACGGTAAGCTATATATCATTAATTAAATTATTAATTATATTTCAAATTGTTCGTATTTATTGTAAAAATTAATCTTGATTATTATCTTAACAGTTTATAATCATGGTTGAAAGTTCCAATCATTGTGTCCTGAAATGGGCAGATCATGCAGGATATGTTGCGGAAAGATTCAATGGCTTATTGGCACGTCAGGCGTTAGTAGATGTTACCCTTATCTGCGAGGAGCAAAAGCTTCGTGTTCATAAACTGGTCTTAGCATCCAATAGTACGTACTTTGAGGTAAGGCCATACAACAATATTATCAGAGAATATACATCCTGTAATATTTGTCTCGTCTCATTTCTGAATATCATAACCCTTCTTTATATGTTTTTATAATCATAATAAGTAATTTGTATTTCAGAAGTTTATTTATTGGTCTATAAAAAAAAAAAAAAAAAAAAAAAAAACAAACAAAAAACAAAAAAGAAAAGATTTAGTTACATAATAAAATTAGGTAGGGAACTTCAAGGCTTCTTATGTGTATTAATGTTAATGTACTAAAAAAAATATTATAATCGTTATTGCGTCCAATTTTTTAATTCTTTTTCTATTTTTTTTTTCTTTTTCTTTTTCTTTTTTTTTTTTTTTTTAAATACATTTGTCGACGTATAAACAAATCGTGTTAAATTGTTGATAATAATTAAGGGACGTATAAAAAGCACGTGTGTTCCTTTGTCACCTATCGTATGTCATAAAATATTAAAAGAAACAGAGTTGTTTTTTTATTAAAAGTATCATTCTGTATATAACAAACTCTTTCTGTATTTATTTAAAATTTATATGAATTTCAGTTCATTTTATTTTGAGCAAACCAGTGTAATCTTTCATTGCGACTGACCATGGGATTTTGCCGTAAAAGGACCAAATATATGTACATACATACATACATACATACATATGTATTCAGTATATAACGTTCTTATGAATAATATAATTTCATAAGAACAAAGATATACTATCTACTGCAACATTAGAAAATGCAGAAATATTTACGGTAGACCAATTTTACAGGGGTTGTAGAAAAATTCATATAAACTAAAGAAAAGCCCTATCTATTGGAAATTTATTTTTCTTTACAAACATTTGAGGAAACTGAGTTTTGTGGGCATACTTTTCACATTTTTGAAGAACAGCTGTTCCTTTGAAAGGTATTAAGTAACTAACTTACATAAACTAGGGATAATACGAATAAATGAATGTAAAAGTATGCGTTTTGTTAAGGGTGTGTGTGCGCGCGCGCGTGTAATATTTTTTTCTCTATTGATAATATCAATAAGATTGTAAATATAAAGCACAATTTGCATGAAGTTATATCTCATCATATAACATATAATTAAATGTGTATATAAATATGTACAAATTTCTTTTCAATTGTATAGGACAGTTGAAATTATAAAATCGCAATTTAGGATTATAGACAATTTTTTATCTGTATATAAAATTTATAGTCAAATTATATATATATACATATATATATATATATGTGTATATAGGTATTGAAATATAAAAATTATTTCTTAACCTCAATTATATATATATATATATAAAATAATTTTATATATATATATATATATATTAAGTAGTATTAAGTTAAATATAAATATTGATACAAAAGTTGAATCATTTCAATGACTATGCAAGAAAATATATGTTCATGAATCATATTTTTCTCTATAATCAAATCATAATTCATTTGTATATAAAATAACAAGAAATGATTCCTTTTTAAATATTATTTGTTTTAAACTATATAGGAAATACTGCAACAAGACTTGGGACAAGACCCTATAATCTTACTTAGAGATTTAAATTTTGAAGTATTGAAGGCAATGGTGGAATTCATGTATTGCGGAGAAACAACTATATCTCATGAAAATTTACCATCTTTATTAACTGCTTCAAGAATTTTCAAGGTATTAAAGTAGTATTAAATTAGTATAAAATTAATATAATAATATGTATATGTATATATATAAAGTGTTAAAGATTATTTATTAATAGAAAATATTAAAGAAAAAATTCATGATGAATCAATCTATAATAAATCAAAAGAAAACCTAGAGAATCATATAAAAATGAATAATATATAAATATATATATATATATATACATATTGTATATTTAATAATATTAAAATATACTAACCATTAATATTTCTCTTTTAATTTATTTAGATAAAAGAATTGGCATATATAATAGACACAGTAATGGAAACACAAAATTATAATAATGCTATTGAAAGTGTAGCTCAATTATATAAAACCGATAATGAATTGAATCATAAAAATAATAATTATAAAATAAATGGGAGAAATGATTTAATCGATACAAAACATAATATTGATAATACCTTTAAGCATATATTATATGAGGATTCGTATGATACAGAAAGTAATAACTTACAACAAACATTTAAAGATTATTTATTAATGGAAGATATTAAAGAAAAAATACATGATGAATCGTTTAAACCATTGTTATGTGACAAAACAAAGGAAAACTTAGAGGGTCGTATAAAAATGAATAATATAAAAAAGAATGATGAAATTTTAGAAAAAGTTAAAGAAGTACAACCTTTATTATACGAACAGTGCTGTGATGTTATAGATTTAAATATACCCGAGAAATATTCTACAATTTCGTCCAAAACTCATGCGAATGATGAAATGAAATTAGATGTAGGACAAAATTTTATCGATAGCACAAACGATAAAGTTGGAAAATGTATCAAAGTTTATACCCATAAAAAACGTAAGCCAGTGATCAATATAAAAAACGAATTGACACAATTGAACGATTTAGTATCAAAATTATCTCCTACCAATTCAATTGATTTATCGGATACACCATCTAATAACAATATACCGGTAACACTTTTAACACCCTTAGATATGGAATGTGCCGAATATCTTTTTAGTTTAGATAATGAAAATATGCAATTGGTAGCGGAAGGTTTGATAAATGAGCAACGATCTTTAATGAAATGTAAGGATATTAATGGACGGGTCTTAAATGTAAATAAGAATAATCTAGATAAAAAAAATGATTTTGATTTTAAAGCCATAAATGATAAAGTACAACGAAATATGGAAAAGCCAGTTCTTAGAAGAAGTGTAAGATTAAATCAACAGGACTGCGAAGATATAACTAATAATGGTATATCTATACAACAACAAACCGTAATAGACGATAAACTTCTTGAGAAAACTAATTTTCCTAACAAAATGGAATCCTTTGGAAAAGGAAAACGTAGGATCAAAGAAAATAATCGCAAAGTAACGGATCATAATGTTATTAATATTGGACGTTGCAATAAAAAGTGTTTCAATAATAATTTGCGTACACAAAGAAATCATTCTAAAACAGTAGTAAAAAAGAATATCAATAATAAATCTGATCAAAAGTCCAAAGGTAATAATCGATTGAAATGTGAAATGACAACGGATGACATAAATAGATTGAAAATATCAATGGGAACAACGTCACCTATTAAACGAAACGCCGTAGGATATATTAGTCGTGCTTTATGGGGTGATATGTCCGATATTATCGAACGTAATAACGATATTATGGATTTATCGGATTATAGTCCAGATGGTGAAATCCCATTTGCAGTTGGGTTGTTACCTTTACGTACTGCATTGGAAAAGATGCAAGCAATGACGGATTATCAACCACGTAAAACACGTTCGTCCGTTGCACCGAACAAACAAGAAATAAATCATTTCAAACGTAAAACTTCTACTTTGGATTCTAATGTCTTAGCTAAAAAGCAAAATGTAGGAAGTATTGTTCAAGATAATAATAAAACCAATACAGTTTGCCATATTCAAATAAGAGCAGCACCTTCTTCACATTATATTAAAAATCGTAAGAAATTTCTTAACGAACATGTTACTACTTTGGGATCACCGACTATTGTTAATAGACAATGACAAACATTAATCTCGATTTTTAGTCAAATGTAAAACAACGAAATGACAAAAGAAAAGAAAAAAAAAAAAAAAGAAAAAAGAAGAACTCGGAAACGTAACAATTTTTTTTTTTTATACGATAGATAAACACAATCATTACGAGACGATGTACAAAATCGAAGATTTTATATATATGTTATTTGTGTTTCTTATGGTTTTTGTTTTCTTTTTTTCTTTCTTTTTCTTTTTTCTTTTTATTTTCATTTTTATTACTTTTTTCTCTTTCTTCCTT